TTGTACTTTTGAATCTTGCATAGTTCGGGATATTTGTCTTTCAAAATGGTAAGGTATGGTAGGAACTTACACTTAAAAGAAGAAGATGTCAAAGAAAGGAAAGATGACCCGAATATAAAGGCTTCAGATAATGAATTTAAAAGCTTTTCCTCTGCCGGCGTCCTGTGCATTGACCAAAGCAGCTGGGGGTCTTGCTGATGACTCAGAACTCTGCTAAACCATCTTGCTTATCACAAGGGAGGCTATCAACCACACAAATATAAAGCTGTAGCCCACTCTCTTTTTAGTTTGAACAGACAATTCATACTGATATTTTATTCTGGACATATTGTGAGAAATGTAAAAAGGTCATTTTTGATACTTTCAGAATAAATTTAAATTAATGCTGTTCTAAAATATACTCACTATCAGATATATATTTAAATGTATTCCAGATAACATATTAAAATGTATTAATACCAGATGGTGGTAATTAATTACAGGGAATAGGCCCTCTGTTTCTTTCTCAAAATAAAGTACGAGGAATGAATACAAGGAAAGAGTGAGGAAGTGTATGTGGTTGGAGGCAACAGGGTGGGAAGAGCTCTAGGTGATGTACAGAGTTGAGAAGACTGGGTGGAAACCCTCTCTGCGCCGACAACTCTACGGGTGAGCATCCATGCCTACTCTAGGAGCCTACTGTGCTTAGAAACTTGATGCGGCATTTTCTAATTTTAAAAACTTCAACAAATCAACTATGCATATTTCAGAACTCAGGACTCTGATGTTCAGAGAGTTTGGTAACTGGTCCAAGGTCATCTACCCAGTAGAAGCAGACCCAAGTATCAAGCCTAGATTATTGGATTCTGTAGACCTGCTGTACTATCACTTGGCATATCCCTGTCAAAAAAATTTATACCTGATTTTGGATTGGAGATTTTGGTAGGTTAATTCATCCCTGTAGGAGCTACTAAAGGTCAAGCTCATTGTTGAGGCTAATTGAACCTCATCAATTTTCTCAACTTCTTTTTTGATATCTATAATCTTTGCTCTCTTTTGTGGACCATAAAAAAGGATATCACTGCTTTTGCCAAATGCTTTATGCTGTACTACGAACCAGGACAATACTGCACCGGTGCCCCTATGCTACATCTGCACTCAGAATGTCTAGAGCAGGGTTGGAAATCTGATAACCTGCATATGTATTTTTATGGCCCAGTAGTGCTTTAATTATATAAATTGGGGGGGGGGGCTCATTATTATTGTTTCTAGTTCTCTGTAGACATTTTCCACCTTGTCTTTTGATTTTTTTAAATATAAGTGGTGGGGGTTTTAAAGTCTGTGTCTGAAATCTCCATTATCTGGATTACCTGTGAGTCTGTTCTTTTGTCTGTTCTCTTTTTTGTTTGTCTTCTGGATTTTGGCCACATCCTGTCTCCTTGTTTGCCTGATCGTTATTGATTACCAGACATTATATGGAAATTTTCAAGGGACTCTGTATAGTTTCATACACCCCCAGAGAGAATGTAGGTAGGCTTGGATCAGGCAACTAGGTTAGGGGCCCTATAACGCCTAAACACCTTGACAGAATCAGCAAATGGAGATTATCTGAGGTTGGCTTTCAGTCCTGTGAAAACTGATCCATTTCCAGTTCACTGTTATTGCTAACTATAAGCCTCCCCCGGGGCAAACTGACTGCCCGAGGTATGCACCAAGATCCTTACACTTTGGCAAACACTGACCTCCAATTTTCAGTGTCCCGCCTCCATGAGTCTGTCCACGGGTCTCTTGGTTTTCATCCTCTCAACCACATCTTTCAGAACCTGCCATGACCTTCAGGAGAAAAGTGGACCCAAATATCAGGTTCACCTCATCCTCTCTCAGATCTTGACCGTACAATTCTTCACAGCTGTGCTGGCTTTGCATGACTTTACATTTTTATTTTTTTAATATTTAGTCCAGTTCCTCTAGCCTCCCTCAGCTGGTCCAAAACAACCTAGGCTGTTAATGCTGAGAGAGCACTCATACATATCAGTTATTTTTAAATTTATCTCACTATAAAAATACGGTTTCCATAAAAAACTGAGATATTTGACTTCTCATAAAAAAAATTATGCCCTGGCTGGTGTGGCTCAATAGATTGAGAGCCAGCCTACAAAGAAAGGGGTCGCTGATTCAATTCCCAGTCAGGCCACAAGCCTGGGTTGCAGGCCAGGTCCCTGGTAGGGGAGGTGTGAGAGGCAACCACATATCGATGTTTCTCTCCCTCTCTTTCTCCTTCCCTTCCCCTCTAAAAGTAAATAAATAAAATCTTAAAAAAAAATTAGATATCAGGGCATACTGACCCCAAGTTTCTCCATGTCAGCCATCTGTTGAATCAGAGTAAGGGCTGTCACTTTCAGATAATGTCAGGCATGATTCTAGTTCACAAGTTTTTCTAATGTCCCAGTTTATCATACCAGTTGTCTTTGTTCATTTCTGCTACTTGCCTGGCCCCTATAGCCATTTGCTTTTGTGACCCCTAGTTCAAATGACTACAAGTTAGGCAACAAAAATCCAAATAAGCTGAACTGAGTTAACACCCAGCAGCAACAGAGAATTTGCTTATTCTGATTGACAACCCTCGGAACTAAAGAAATTCCTGTACACATAATACAGTGGAGGTAAGTCACAAAACATCATTATTTACATTCTGCAATGAGTTTTTATCTATAAGCATTTCTCATTTTTACTTGCTAACTCACAAGTTTTGATTATCCAATCATGACCAAGCAATTCTTATCTATAGCAATTGCTTAAAGACTTATAGTTTCTTCCTTAATTGAATCTCATTTCCTTGTTTCCTCAATTGAAATAATTAAATGATTGTCCATGGAATTTTGCAAAAATTAATTTGAGTAATAATGAATATTCAGTTTTGGGGGAGAGGTTAACTTTCTCATGCATTACATCCATGACTGGAAGATGCTCATTTTGTCTCTCACTTGCCGAATATTTAAGCAGACACCCTGTGTCAGGCACTATCCTAAATGCTGAAGATGCCAAGATGAATAAGGCACAGGCCCTGACCTAGAGAAGCTCACTGTAGTAGGGAAACAGACACGAAAAACTGTCCTTACAACAATTCATAGTGAATAATGTTAATTGAGTTATGAACAAAGAACAACAGAAGTGGTTAGGTATGTCTCGGGAGTAGAAAAGAAAGGCTTTCAGAAGGAAGAGTATTTCCACTTGCTCTTAAGAAGATGATTTAGTTGTTGGTCAAGTAAAAAAGAGGAAGAATGTCTTTTTGGTGTCTTGAGTAAACATTAGTTCCCCCAAACTCCCTCTAGTTTCCCTGCCTCAAATTCTTTCCTCTCTACAACAATTGTTTGAAAGCAAAATCTGATCATTGGTGTCCCTCCTCTTCATGATGAATTTAGACCCCTCAGCTGAGGCCTTTGTCATTCTGACAAAGACATCCTACCCCACTTCCTGTCCTGGTTCCCGGGCAGGGTATGAACACTCAAAAGAACATGTAACTTCGTGTGGGGGCAACTTTTCCCACGTGTCCCCCCAGCCACCACGGATGAGAGTAAACATGACAGAGACATGATGTGAGCTGCTTGGGGAGGAAAGGTGGCAGATCCCTCAAAGGGGAAAGGCCAAGAGCCCCCTGCTCAAGAGGCTTTTATTGGGTTCATTTGCACAAGAATACAGGTAAGGATCAAACAATAGATAGCATTCAAAGAACTATCAGGGCTTATTCTCAGTCAGGGTCAGATAGCTAACAAGCCATAAAACTTTGAGGAACAAACTTCTTGCTTGGACCCTTATCATTTAAATGACAGCATTCTAAACAAAGCAGGTTTCACAGGATTTTTACATAGTCTTTCTTATGCCTGATTTACTCCATACCTGCCCTTTCCAGCATAGAGCTGCACCGCCCTCCCCATCATAGGGTTTTAGGCTTAAGTGGATTAGAGCCAGGCAGCACTTCTCCCAGACTGAAATGGGGATTCGGACTACGTCACAATAGCCAGGGGGATGAGGGTCCGTTGCTCCCTCTTTGTCGTAGCCCCCCAAGTCCTTCCATGATGGCCTCCCAAGTGATTATGTCTGGCCTAGTGATACAGGGTGCAGCCAAGGCGGGGGGGGCAAAAAAAAGATTTGGAATGGTGTCCAGAATTCAAAGTGTATAGGAATATTGGAGAGACATATAAGATGTCCTCAACCCCCCCCCCCCACCAGCAGGGGGAAGTGGAGCAGGGCCATTGAGAGCTGTTTTGCATAGCAACAGTTTTGAAGCTAACCTCTGGAATGGCCATTTAACATATCTATAACCTTTAACTGGTTTCATAGATATGTTAAATAGCTGTGACCATGCTCTGTGCCAGAAAGAAGGGAGTGGCTTCTACCCAAGATGTAACTAGGGGGGCAGGTCCCCCTAGTTACAGCACCTGCGTGAGAGCTTGGAATTGATTGACTCCAGGACATGGGGTGATGGCCCATTAGTCCTGCCCAGACTAATGATGGCAGCCCAGTAAAGCTGGGAGGGTATGAGAGTCCTGGCAGGTGTAACTGATTGTAGGAGGATTCGGAAATGGGGCAGCAAAGGAGGATGGGTGCGGAGATTTAAACCGAGGTGCGGCAGCCATTGGAGGAGCGAGTCACAGGGTCTCAGTTGAGTTAAGATCCCCTGTTGCCGAGGTGAAGAGGAGAGAGAACCGTGTGGTTTTGGCCAGAGTGCAGACCCCTGCGGCCAGATGCAAGGGAGAGCTACCCGGTTTCAGCGGAGTAAGGATCCCCTCTTGGCCAGGTGAAGAGGGAGCCATGTGGTTTTGGCAGAGTGCAGACCCATTCTTTCCCAGGTGAAAGGGAAAACCATGCAGCTTTGCCAGAATGGAGATCCCTGCAGCCAGGTGAAGAAGAAAGCCACATGCTTTTGGTGGAGTGTGGACCCCTGCAGCTTTGGTAGAAGAGGCCCACGCAGCTTTGGGGTGCTCCCGTTTGGCCGCGTGGCCTGGAAAGCAAGAGAGACTTTGACTGGAACTGGGTACAAAGGACTCTTGCCAGTGGACCGTGAGAGGGTACCACAGTACTTTGGATTAACTAGAGAGAGATCCTGCCTGCAAGGTGACACAGGTGACGGTGCCAGCGGCCTGCAACACAGACATGTGCTCTTTTCCTGATTTACGGTACCCAGAGTTTGGACAGTGGGAGAAGGGAGCGCTGTGGGGGTGTAGGAGTATACCCTAAAGGACTTTGCTATTTTAGTGGTGGTGTTAGGCCTGAATAGCATTAAATAAACATTTTCTTTCCTTTTCACAAATCTCTGGCATTGAGAGATGTCTTTCCAATTGGTGGCAGACAGAAGAGCCCAGTAGATTTTAGTATTCTGTCCTTGGGAGGGGCCCCTGTTGTGTAGCAGTTTTGGTATCCCTAGATGGGCCAAATATTATATTGCCCCCTCCCCTTGGACCTCTTGTTCGGTAACGATAACACTACAACCCTTATGCCTTCAGCACCCCCAAAAGGCAGAGCACTGATGACTTCCTGTGTAAAACCTCCTGCTGCGCTACACTCAGCTCCCAGACTGACTGAATTCTATATGTGTATTTGTATTCTAGAAAAAATTCACATGAATCTTCGATTTTATGTTTATTGTCTTGAACCAGAACTGAAATTCCTAGGATCCCTTATGAAGCTAGAAAAGTTGCTAGGAAGTAATTTTTATTCTTTTCAATAACAACATTAAACAAAAAAACAGTTAAACTAGAAATTCTTTGGTTGTGTGTTTTCTTTTTTCCTTCCTTCATTCCTTTTTGTACCAATAATTCATGTTTATTGTAGAAAATTTAGGAATACAAAAATCTTCTTACTTTTATTGTTGTAAATCTGATTCTCAACTGAGGTGTCACAAGAATTTTTGAAACTTGCAATACCTTACTGTTTAGTCAGGGGCACTGACTTCTTTTTCCTTAACTTGTCCATTAAAAACTGATAATAGCCAACGTAACAATAGTTGTCTGATGTAAGGCTCTGCCTTGAGTCACACATACATAGGTCATATAACAGAGTTGCATCTTTTTGTTCCCATCACATAATAAAGATACATCTGATTGGTTAATTCTTTGTATCAGAAATCCTTACACACAAGTATAGGCGCCTGATTTTTTTAGAAAATCCCTCTGGAGCAGAAAGGCTACATAATTACTACTACTATTATTGTTGCAAATCAATAAAAATTATACCCCTTTTTGTCAGATTTGCAAAAATATATTTTCGTTGTGCTGCAGAATTTTAGTAGTTAGTTTACTTGTGCCACAAGATGAAAAAAGTTAAAAATTGCCATTAGAAATTAATACTTAATATGATAAAAAAAGGAGTAAGAGAAACATTCAATAAATTTTCATTTCATGACATTAAATGTGACTGGAAACAGTGAAATTCTATTTTATGTTATGATAAACATGTTTCTAGGTAATGTCAGTTAACTGTAACAGTTTAACAAAGCAGGAAGCATGTTTTACCAGCTACTTCTATGGTTTGCAGCTATACAAACACAATCTACACAATTAACCAAAATTTTAAAATATCCATTGACTTTAAATATCAGATAAATAGGAAAACTAGCTGCATACTTTATACTATAGAGAATCTAAATTTAATAATAAAATTGTTAAGCAATTCACTCTTCTGCAAGACCACAGGCCAGTAAAGGGGCCTCTTCTCCCCAAAGCCACCAAGAACAGTGCTCTCTCTGAGAATGTGAGAGATATCATGGGTACAAATACGATTCTGAAATCCATAGGCAACAAGGATCAAACAGAGGAGAGACCAGAGGGCATGACCTAACTGGGAAAAATTTGCTTGACTCTCACAAAGCAACTGGGCACATGAGGAGACCAGACTCATAACCAGAATTTCTGGGTAGCTGTCAGAGCCATTTCCTGCTAACGACTGAGTGTAAAAATACAGGTTGACCTCACAGACCACCTGATCTGGGGTAGTCAGAGCTGAAAAGAGAGTAGCAGATAAGAGGTATTCTGCCTGACAGTTATTAGTGTCAAAGTATGCTGGCTGAAGAGAGTGCTCGGAGAGCCGTGGGCATGCCCCCAATATCTGCAAATGAACAAATGCGTTAATGAAGGAATGAATGAATTAGAAGCATGAGTTGGTGGAGTTCAGCAGAACCTCATAGACCAATCAGTTCCAGATGCTCATTGCATTGACAGGCAGGGAAGCTGCAAAGAAGATCGCACTAGATTTACCCAGTCAATGGCAGAGGTGAAGACAGATTAGGATGCACAACTCATCACTTCTCCAGACCTGGGATTGAAAAGTTTTTTAGAATATCTTAAAAATGAGACATAATGCAGATTACGTCACATTTTCCCCAGAGCAGATGATTTTTTTTCTGTATGTTTAATGTATACAACTTTATGAGTTTGGTGATAAACATATATCCTTGAAACCATTACCTTCAAATGTTTATTCCTGCTTTATTTATTTATTCAATCATTCATTTGTTCATTTATCTTTGATAAAAACACTTAAGATCTACCCTCTTAGCAACATTTTAAGTATTCAATACAATGTTATTAACTAAGGGCTCTATGCTGTAGGTTACCCACAGGTCTCTAGAATTTATTCATCTTGCACAACTGAAACTTTATACCTTTTGATTTTATCTTCACATGGCCTAATTACAGAAGCTACATAGTTCATAAAAGGATATGTTTTATGTAACTTCAGCTTTAAAATAAAACATGAGAATTAACAATGTTTTTCATGACTTGTAATTCTGTTGAATCTTCAGATCTTTGTTAGGGAGTGAGCTCATGTTGCTCTAACCCCACTCTGTGGAGTCTTCATTGTCAGAAGCTGGGCTCCACCCTCCCCTTTGCTGGATGTGATACACACTAGTGCCAAGCCTGCCGTGGTGGTTACACTGCACTGGGAGTTCTCCAACGTGAAACTTGGCTGAGTGACTCTGCTTCTCCTTTTACTCCTGAGAGTCTGTATTTGGAGAACCAGTTTACCCTGCTCATCTTGGTTTTTCTGCCTTTATTTGTTGACAGTATCTCCCTCTAAACCTCCCTGGCTTGATTCAAAGTTTGAAAATATAGTATCTACATTAACACTAGGATTTAGTGATTAGTGATTAGACTTCTGAAAGTGAATTTATATGTATACTTAGAGGCAGAGATATTGATATAGATTATTAATCTCTACATCTGATTTATTTCTTTTACTCTGTTACAGTTCTTCATCTACATTTCCTCTGCCTATTGCAACTGCTAATTTCACTCAGTCCTTCATTTTTAGATGATGCCTCTGAGGACTGAGAAAATTAAATGATGTACATCTAAAATGTGGAGCCATTTCACAGTGCCTGGTCACAGTTCAGTTCATGGTAGCTACTACAAGCTGACACTCCATCATCGTCAACATCTTTCCCCACTATGTTCCCTCCCCAATTCATTCCCATTCCTAGTACATCAGCTCTTGAAATTTCTGTACAAATAACTCTCCAAAAAAAACCTTTCTTGAATCATCTACCTTTACCTATAGGCTCAATGAAATTCCATATGCATAGTGTTTCCTTTTAAAATTTATTATACTTACTGTTGATTAGACCAGTATTTTTAAAAATGTGGCCTTTGAATCACTGCATTCGAATCACCTGAAGCAAAATAACAGGGTGGGTACCAGATATCTGTATTTTAAGCAAGTACACGGAAGATTGTTTTGCACACCAAGATTTGGAAACCAGTGTTAGTCTATTTCCAATCCTTACCATTTTATCAATGCCATCACTTTTGGCATGGTTTTTAATATAGTGAAAGAGAGATTTATTTTACTACCTTCTTAAAGTAACCCATATTTGCAGAGTATACTTCTCTAGAATTTGTTGGGCAGAATAAATAAATATATATAACAATTATTATAAAGATTTAAATCTCCAGAGGAAATAGAAGGACCTAGGACAAATTGGTAGATAATGAATGAACCATAATACAATGGAGTCAAGCCTCCTCTGGGTTTAAGTATCTTAGGTATTTGAAGAGAGGAATGAGTGAATGCAAACGCTACCCCAAATTGCAAGCATCAGGTAATGTAGTTACAGGGGAACTGGCTATTTATTTCCCTTCTTTAATTGAAAGATTGAGTTTGACAGTGCACTGTTGCATAGGAGGTGAGCTGTCGCAAATTCTTTTTAGAACTATATAGACTCCACTTCCGAGAAAAAAAGTCAATAAAAATGTAGAAGATGACCAGAATTTATCTGTGCAATAAGACTATTGCATAATGTGACTAGTTTTCTTGGATGACTCAGGGAAATCAGAATTGATAATTTACAGCCATACTTTATATTTCAAAAACACAGCCACTACATGAATATAAATATTTTCTGAGTTCTAGATGAGTTGGAGATGAGACTCTTGTGTTAGATGGTAACGTACAGGGCATGCACAAAGCAAATGAGATGCTTTAAAATAAGTGCTGAATCTCTTGCAAGATGAAATATTAGCATTATTGACATAGACCAAGTACCTTCATCACCAAAGTGCTGGTTCAACAGTGCAAAGTTTCAGAAGAAAGATAACCTTTTTTTAAGCTATTTAAGTCAGAAGGAAGTGATGCAGACATCGGCCCACAGTGTCTGCATCATTATGGATGAAATGAGACATTCACATGGACTACCGAGTCCGGTGGAAGAAAAGGGACAGCATGGCTTTTTCTCTCAAGGGGAGCAAAAGCCACAGCCCTCACCATGACAGACCTTTATTGGGTTTCTCGGCACATTACATGATGGTCCTCACTTACTATGCATAGGTTGCTTTAGGTGGTTACCTTTTACAGAAAACAAAGGAGCCAATGCCACTAATTACATTACAGAAGAGGGATGTTTGTAAATGAAAAGGTGAAAGTGGTTGAACCGGGTTACACTTGTCCTTGGAAGGTTTAGCATGGATTTTAGGAAGTTCCTTTGCAGTAAATGTTTGCCACTGGGGACCGGGCCCACGTAGAATAGTGTCCTACATGCCCCCCCTTGTTTTATAGTTAGGACCGCTATGAATCTCACAAAACTTGCTACTTGCTGGTCTCTCACAGGACCCTGGGAAAATAATTCGCAAATGCGTCAAAGTACACAGAACATTATTACAATCCATGAGCAACCAGTGGTTCCAAAGACCCACATTCTCAGAAAAAGCCCATCGATCATTGTCAGGCAGTAATGATCAAATGCATAACATTTAAAGAACTCTGAGGGCCTATTTTTAGTCAGGGTCAAATAGCTAAAGGGCCATAAAACTTTAGGGAAACAAACTCATTTCAGGTTTGGACCCTTATCATTTAAATTGAGGATATTAGCAAAGTAGGTTTCATAGGATTTAATGCTTTCTCTCTTAGGCCTGATTGCCCCAAGGAACCTACCCTTTCCAGCACAGGGCCCCACCCACCTCTGGCATTGTTTCAGGCTTAGGTTGAGTAGGGAAAGTAAGGCAGCCAAGAGATTAGGAGACGCCTTGCAAACAGGAAAAGGACTCAGGCTATGTCAGAGCTGAGGGGCGAGGGTCCATGACGCTCTTTTTCTACAGCCCCCCAAGTCCTTCCCTGAAGGCCTCCACGTGATCGTGCCTGTCTTAGGTCACCCCTCCCTTGAGGGATCTTAACTGTCATTGATTAACCAACCAAGCACTGGGGGCCAGGCAGGGTGAAGTAAAGCGGGCAGAGGCAGTGCTCCTGTCAGGAAGATAGGCTTGTCTCCTTAGTGGTTCAGGTCCTCATGGCAGAACAGACCCAGATGAAGCAGGTCCCTTGGGCTCAGCTTTAGCCATGGTGGGTTATAGCTCCTGAAACCAGGCAGGGAGGTTCCCAACATCTAATCTCCCTCCTTTTTTCTATTGTAAATGCAATTGTAGCTGTTAAGCCTGTGAAACCTATGTGCTGTTCCTCAATGCGATCTCAAGAAAACATCCTCCATATATATATCATAAAGCACAAATAAGGGTTAAGACAAAGGGGCATCCAAGGGCTGCCAAGACCCAAACTCATAAATTCAGTCCATTGAAACAGTTTTTAGGGTTCAACCATTCAACACTATGGGGCACCGAGGAGTTGTTACCCTCTGCAGCAGGCATTTGAGCCTTGGCCCCTGTCTTCGGGGCAGGCTCCATCCTTCTCCGTTGGCAGACCCAGCCTGTGGGTGATGGTGCGAGTGTCCCTTTTCCTTCTGGTCGTTCAGGGTCAGCTGGGCCATCTGGTCTGTCAGTCGATTGGTTCTTGGCTTCAGGTAGCAGAGCTTGGTGACTGTCCCGCTCATGATAAGGCTTTACTCTTTTGGCTGGTACCCAGACAGGACCTGTAGGGATGGAAACACACACACACCCTCTTCCCCAAGTTAAGAGGTCTACAGGGCCTTGCCAAGAGCCATCTCCCAGCGAATCTCTATATAAAACCTGAGGATAAGATGACTTTGGCTCTTTCTTCTGAAAATGTTTCTTAATTGGAGTACAAAGTGATTCATCACAATTTAGAAAATTATAGGTAAATAGGTCTAACATAATCAAATTTTCTGGGGGGAGGACTCATGACTCCCCTTTTTCTGTTTTTTAAGAAGATTTCTAAAAGTATAATGAGCCCATTCTACAATTGCCTGACCAGTTGGAATTTAAGGTATTCCTGCTTTATGTTGGATATTCCAGTGCTGAGGAAAAACCTGATTAGAATGGGCAAGGTATCCAGGGCCATTATGAGTTTTAATTTGCGGAGGCCGTCCTAAATGACTAAAGGCCTCAAGCCAATGGGCTTGTATATTTTTAGTAGATTCTCATGTTAAAGCAGATGTATGTAGGGCATCAGAGTAAGTATCAATGGAAATATGATCGGATTTGAATTTTCCAAAGGGAGAGTAATGAGCGACACCTGTTTGCCAAATTATTTGAGAAGTTAGTTCTTGAGGATTAACTCCTGTAAATGGGGGTGCCTTGCTAAGGGCTTGAAAAGACAGCCCCCCTGCTGTTTCTGCAAGCTGCAATGAGTTTAAGCAGCAAGTTAATGGTCCTGCTGTTCTCAGAACATAGTAGCTCCTAGGTTCAGAGTTTTCAAAAAAAGTGGGAAAGATGTGGGGGATGTGCTCTGAAAAAATATGTCTTAGACAAAAATAGTTGCACGCCAAGGGCCTTTTGTGACTCGATTGACTAACCATTCCCTCTGGGAGAATAGCCAGTTCTTCCCCAAAGAAACGATCAGTGTTTATAGGCACTGAGTTAAAAAAATTGTACTTTGACTTCCGTGGAGAAGGGCTAGTTCTCCCCGGGAGACAATATACCTATATTTCATTTTTACAATAAAGGTCATGGCTCTGGCATAAACAAGGAGTACTCTTAATATTTCTTTAATACATCACACCCCCCCGTTGCACTTACAGCACGCTTTAGATGGACAAACATGAACACATCCACAACTTTCAGAAAGTTTTTTCTCTATTGGCAAATACATTTACTTTTGTAAAATTGGAGTTTTGACCTTCTCTGTTTCCTACCTGGGCCGGTTACCCCTCATTAGGCGACCTGGTGAACCCCCACTTTTGGGAAGTCACCATATGGATGCCGAACTTAGTGTGGGCACCCAATCGCATAGCGCACTGCAGCCCAGAACTCCTGGGCTCAAGCGATCCTCCTGCCTCGACCTCCCAAGTAACTGGGACTACAGGCTCTCGCCACTGCAACCAGCCAATTGCAACTGTGCCGGCATGTCTGGGACTGCACCCAGCGCTGGGCACAGGGAAGGGTCTGCCCCAGCACACACTGAGGAGAAAGGGTGGTGAGGGCAACCAATCTTCCCTCCGCGCCCCTGCCAGTCCCCCACACAGAGACCCAGCCTCCACTCAACTCACCTGGACCGTGCACACTCCAGCGGCTGCAGCCCTGCTACAAGCAAATGCACACCGGCGCCGCTGTTGATCTCGCCCGGCTGGCCATGAGACTTGGGGCCTCTGGTGGGAACCACCAGAAGGGCCTAGGTAGTGCGCATGGGTCCTTTCTGTTCCATATTTCCAAAACTAAAGATACCTAATCTAAGAGACATTCAGCAGCCCCAGAATGCTGCTGAACCCAAAACACTACTCTTGTTCTTTAGAGAGCCCGTTCCCCATAATTGAGGATTCGAAGAAACCTTCAAAGAAATTTTTTAACAAATAAAAGAACCTTTTTCTGAAATTCCCCCCAACAAAAGCACAGTGATTACAAAACCAGTCTCGATTTTGCTTTTTCTCCATGTGCACCTTTAAATCCTTATGCAGGCAGATGGAAGGAAAGGCAAAATTGGAGGGGCCACAAGAAGCGGCTTAAAAGAAAGAATTTGCTGAGAAGCCTGTAAACTGTCCTGTAACTAGTTGATGTTTTTAAAGCTGATTAAAGGGAAAATATTTGCTCTTTCTCCCAAGCGCAGACCTAGTTTGGGGTTGCCTCCGGCAAAAGCTTGGGAGAGGGAGCAAGGCTCCTGCTTACTAAAGAAGATAAAGTTGCAAAGCAGTCACAAGAGAGAGCGACCTAGGAAGAAAACTCTTTTCCAACACACCCTACGACATTCCTGAAAAGCATTCCCAGTCCTCGGCCCTCATCTGAGCTGATGCCCCCATACTCCAACCAAGTTGGTGTGTTGCCCAAAACGATGACGGCTCATACCTCTGGGTCCCTGTTCCTGGACGCCAGCTGATGGGGACACCAGCCACAGTGTCCCCATGAATCATGATGGATGAAATGAGACATTCACATGGACTACCGAGTCCAGTAGAGGAAAAGGGACAGCATGGCTTTTTCCTCTCAAGGGGAGCAAAAGCCAAAGCCCTCGCCATGACAGGCCTTTATTGGGTTTCTTGGCACATTACATGATGGTCCTCACTTCCTATGCAGGATACTTACTATGCAGGACTACTATGCAGGTTGCTTTAGGTGGTTACCTTTTACAGAAAACAAAGGAGCCAATGCTGCTAATCACATCACAGAAGAGGGATATTTGCAAATGAAAAGGCAAAAGTGGCTGAACCAGTTACACTTGTCCTTGGAAGGTTTAGCATGGATTTTAGGAAGTTACTTTGCAGTAAATGTTTGCCAGGGGGGGCTGGGCCCACGCCATTCAGAATGGTCTGCTACAAGGAAAAAAGAGCCCCCTTATAAATCTGTGGTAAAGATCTTAGAACTGCTGTTTTAATAAAACGACACCCACTCTCGTTTAGTTCAGCAGGACAACATAAGCCGTGGGAGCCTGGGGCTCAGGACACTCACTGTGTCAGGACGAAGGAGGAGTGCAACGCTGATGTTATTTCACGTCCTTTCAGAAATTAAATAATGGATTTCTGAACACCTGGATAATAGAACTGCTGTCTCATTAACAACAAATTAAAACATTAATCACATTCCAATTGAGGCAAAATGAAGAATCATTGTTACACTAACAACATTTTTATTCTAAGATGAAATTTGCCAAGATAAATAAGCAATATTGGTCACATTATTATAATAGCAATTTCTAAATTCATATTGTTGAATGGGACCCTTCCTTGTACCAACTTACCTTACATAGTGTTTGGCTGTTCCACAACATAAATCAGCACCTGACTCTCCACAAAGAAAGTTGGTAAAAATGGACTTTTCTATTGACTTACTTCTTGTTTACAGTTTTATCAACAGGACAGATAGTTTACTTTTGCCTTTGGTGGTCACTCCATACTTCCAAGGAAAACTGGCTTGACCTACAAGAATAAAAAGATTTGGGTCAATGTGGGTGAATATAATGATTAGTTGTGTGCAGAGGGGACAAAAACTTCATTGTCATAACAACATGTGACTGTATTTAAATTCCGATGGTAGAAAATGATTGAGAAAGAAAATTTAGAGTTGGAAAAGAGAAAAGGGAGGTTCAACTTGGAGGTGAACCCTGGGCAGAGTGAGAACCAGCAGGAGCCGTGGAAGCATGGACGCAACCCAACTCACCAGGTCCATAACAGTTCATCATTCTGGCTCACACAGGCCCTGTGACCTCTCCTTCCCACCACTCTCCTCACTGGAGAAAACACCAGCAAGTTTGTAAATAAGTTACAGGTTTAGCGATTTTCCCTTAAGCTTTTTGCTGAGTAGACTAGAACTTTCCTGGAATGTTAGCTGACCTGGCAGACACCCCACCACCTCCAACCCTTCTTCCCAGTCTTCAGGTCACCTGTAAACAGCTCTCCATCAGCCTGTCATCCTAGCAGATTGTGCCAACCCTCCCGAGTAGCCATGGGAGCACTTACTATGTGGATAGTTCTCTCGCTGACCCATGAAAAGTAACAAAAGACAACAAAGAGCTGGCCTTGCTTCTCAGCTGCTTTTGAGTTAGTTGAAGATCTAAAACACACACGTCAACAAATGTATACTGCCATGTAATATTGAGATGAAATAAGCGAATCAGCTGTGATGAAACTACACATTAAAAAAGAAGATAATAAAAACATTTATAATTAAGAATTTGTTAAATAAGTTATGGCAAATCCACGTAACAGAATACCATGTAACCACAAAAATTATGACAAAGACAAGTGACTTTGAATATAGAAATATGTACATACCATATAAAGTGAAAAATTAAATTTCCAAGAAGTATGTATTGCACATTGAAGTCTTTGTTCAAGAAATAATACCTATATGCATGGGGGAAATATGCATAATAAAATGGTGATGGCCATTATTTCTAGGTATGTGTTTGTATATGACCTTTATTTTCATCTTTATGTTTTTCCTGTACTTTCTGAATTGCTTTTTGCAATATACACATATATTTTTGATACAGGGTGCAGCCAGGGGGCCCCCCAAAAAAAGATTTAGAAAGGTGTCCAGAATTCAAAGTGTATAGAAATATTGGAGAGACATATAGGATGTCCTCACCGCACCCCCCCCCCCCAAGGGATGAATGGATCCAGGCCATTGAGAGCTATTTTGCATAGCAACAGTTTTGGAGCTAACCTCTGGAGGAATGGTTATTTAACATATCTATAACCTTTAACTGGTTTCATAGATATGTTAAATAGCAGTGGCCAAGTTTGGAGCAGAAGGGAGAAGAGAGAAGGAACTAGCGGGGACTGAGGATAGAACTTGGGGGACTCAAGGGGAACTAAGGGCTACTCTCCGGAGTGAGAAGGGCTTGGACTCAGAATGTAACTAGGGGCTGCGCTCCTGAGTGAGAAGGGTTTGGACTCAGGAGGATGTAACTAGGGGCTGCGCTCCTGAGTGAGAAGGCCTGTGTGAGAGCTTGAAAAAGACTGGCTCCAGGACATGAAGGGTCCCCGCTTGGCCAGATGAGAGAGAGAGCCACACGGTTTCAGCAGAGTGAGGACCTCCTCTAGGTGAGGTGAAAGAGGGAGCCACATGGTTTTGGCAGGGTGCGGACCCCCTCTTTCCCAGGTGAAAGGGAAAAACCACGCAGCTTTGCCAGAATGGAGATCCCTGCAGCCAGGTGAAGAAGAAAGCCACATGCTTTTGGTGGAGTGCGGACTCCTGCAGCTTTGGTAGAAGAGGCCCACGCGGCTTTGGGGTGCCCCCTTTGGCTGCGGGGCCTGAAAAGCAAGAGAGACTTTGACTGGAACTGGGTACAAAGGACTCTTGCCAGTGGACCATGAGAGGGTACCACAGTACTTTGGATTAACTCGAGATCCTGCACAGTGACACAGCTGACGGTGCCAGTAGCCTGCAACACAGAGGTGTGCTCTTTTCCTGATTTACGGTACCCGGAGTTGGGACAGTGGGAGAAGGGAGCGCTGTGTGGGTGTAGGTGTACAACCTAAAGGACTTTGATATTTTAGTGGTGGTATTAGGCCTGAATAGCATTAAATAAACATTTTGTTTCCTTTTCACAAATCTCTGGCATTGAGAGATGTCTTTCCAATTGGCGGCGGACAGAAGGGCCCAGTAGATTTTAGTATTTTGGTTTTTTGGGGGAGGGGCCCCTGTTGTATAGCAGTTTTGGGCATCCCTAAGTGGGCCAAATATTGTATTGCCCCTCCCTCGGACCTCCTCTTGTTCGGTAACATTTTCATTATAAAACAGAACATCAGTAGAGTTACTTTTAAATAATTAGAGTTAGGGAATTAATGATAGATGGCTTCCTCCTGGGTGAGGGAGCTGTTTTGCATTAAGTTCAACAATGTTTTTTGAAATACTTAGTGGCTGTGGATTGGAAGAAAGGAGAGTGCACAATGGTTTAGATGGGAAGACCATCATGAGATGAGGGAGAAACATACCAGTTGGATATAAGCAGATGAAAGTTTAAGCAACGAGAACAACAAGGGAGATCCTTGCAACTTCACCCCACTGAGCTTCTGTACATGCTGTTCTCACTTCTAGGAAAGCTATTCGTGCATAAGGAAGTCATCTTGCAAGATTCAGCTCAAATGACTCTTTTTCTTTAAGCTTCCTTTGACTCAGGCTTTTTTTTTTTTTTTTCCCACCACGGTGCCCCATACATTCCTGCAGTGTTACATAGAACACGTTGTATTCCATCAAGTAATCTTCTGTTTATTTAAACCATTTCCTGAGCAGCAAGATCCATGAAGGTAAGGGTCCTCACTGATATTTCCTTGAACATCATCTTGTCATATAATAGATGTACAATACAAGTTTACATAGGTCTGACTTGAATTGAGTTGAAACTGTTTTATAGAGTGATCAATTAACAGAGAGTCTCAAAAGTGCGGATAAAGAGGTAGGTTTGATTTCATAACACAGAGGTTTGACACATTTATCTCTGTGGTATAAGAAAATGCTTTTCCTAGAAATTGGATAAAAAGAAGGCATTGCCATTCTTCCAACCATGTTCACCAGAGATTATTAGAGTTGGCAGTGCTGGGAAGACTGTTATTAGACAATGTGGGAAGGTGTGGAGAATGCCCATCTAATAATCTGCCAAAGGGCAAAATCATTTTATGTATTATAGGTTGTAGATTCCTGATAAAGACAGAACAATGGCTTCATGGCTGATGTTAAAGCTTTTCCAACAAGTTACTTTGATGTTATATAGCTCCCATCTTATGCCCAGAAGCCTCAGTGATAATATATGTAGCTTTTTTACAATGTTATTACAGTAATGGTCTTATTCTTCCCAGAAACATGTGTTTTACTCATTTTTAGCACATAATGTACACCAAGAAAATCATACATTAATGTTAACTTAATGAACAAGATGTTTTTAAAATGGCAAATATGGTTCCATCAGATGCAGTATTATCTAATTAATGCATTATCAACTTTTATATTATTCTGTCAATTATGTTTTAAGAAAAATATGTCTTTAAGGTTTGTAGTCTTTAAAGATTATAAATATCATTTAATTCTATTCAAAGGAAAATAGTTCTACCTCTAATCCCTTCCAAAGGATGGTTTTGTTTAACCTGGACTATTTTCATATACTGTATTTTTCAGACTATAAGATACATCTAAGTTTTAGAGGAGGAAAATAGGAAAAAAATTTGAAGCAAATAAATGCGGTAAAATACAATGGAATTATATGCAGCAGAGAGAAAGAAGGTGCTCCTACCCTTCCACAACAGCATGGATGGAACTGGAAAGCATTATGCTAAGTGAAATAAGCCAGGCGGTAAAAGACAAATACCATATGATCTCACCTTTAACAATAACCTAATCAACAAAACAAACAAACAAGCAAAATATAACCAAAGACACTAAAATTGAGAACAGGCTGACAGTGACCAGAGGGGAAAGGGAAGGGAATTTCAGGGGGAAAGGGGAAGGGTTTTCAGGAACAAGTACAAAGGATACAATGGACAATAACAAGGGGGAGGGGTGAAAACGGGAGGGAGGTTGGAAGGGCTGGGGGGGTGGGCTGGGATGAGGGGAAGAGGCCCCAAACTGTACTTGAACAGCAATTAAAATAAAAAATATTTAAAAAATAAAAATTCGAAAAAAATGTGGTAAAATATTTAATAACCTGTGGCCCCGCTCCACCCCCACCTCCACCCCCACCCCCACCCACAGGGAGCCAGGTAAGCTACATTCAGACTATAAGACACACACCCCTTTTCCTCGAAGATTTGGGGGGGGAGTGAATCTTACAGTCCGAAAAATATGTATATGAAAATAGTCCAGGTTATGTTGAAAAAGTTAAAGTCAACTCAGTCCTTTTTCCTTTAGTTCTGCATTTTTAATTCTTAAATGTTTTGCTATACATGGTTTGCTGATAGAGAAATGTACTAGTTTCATTATTTCACATGTAAGTGGGTTTTCATGCTGTTCATCCACTTTCCGCAGTCATTCTCCACTGCAGGCACACAGTCCATTCACATTGCCAGCCGTCCAACAACCAGTGACAACTGTGTGAGAGCTACAAAAGTGTCTCAAAAACTCTCTTCAGAGAAAAAAATGCAACTGTTTCTTGAACATTGTATTTTTTTCCTGGGAACCATGACCTACATATCAACAAACTGGGAAAGTGTTTTCTCTTGGCAAAGGCAGCTTTACTGTGATGGATCCATACAGTATTCAGTTCAAGATGTGAAACAACTGCTGTTTATTTAAACATCTTTCTTCAAAGTAAGAAAAATACATTTAATTATACTTTTTCTATATTTGAGGATTATTTTATATTCACTTTAAAAGAAAGGGAAATATAACTAAAATCCCTTTGGTGTAAATCTACCAACAGTTTATGCATGAGTATAAAAGTTCTTAGCAATGACTTCCCTTGTGGTACTACCTGCCCGAA